CGTATAAAATGAGCCATATTTTAAGAGAATGAGGCAACAGTATTCTGGAGATTTGGGCGCCTTTTGGACGCGATCTCGGCAACCAGCATTCATCGGACACTAAATCATGATTGGTTGCTGAGCCCACACTTTCGGCCAATCAGAGCTTGGGTTGATGCTGGGCCGGTAAGCGGTTCGAACTTCTGGTGTGAGGGCTAGGCTTCTTGGTCGTGGCAACACCTAACTGCGAGCGGTAAAAAGGTTTCGGTTCAAGATTGCGCTTAAAACCTTCCTACTTGTTTCGTGTAGAATCTTCCGCCAGTATGCTTTTTGTTTCGCTGCATGAGTTAGAAGACCTCAGTCATCCTAGTTACACTTTGTGGTACATCTCCCATTGACGCAGGGACAGATTATTTTTTACGAAAATAAATTCTGGTTTTCAGTCTCCCTTCACCCCAGTGTTAAGTGCTGTTCTTTTAATCGTGGAGAGGCACATGCACAACGAGAACTTTATAACGCGATCGATCGGACCGCTACTTTCTTGAAAGCAGTGTCCTTTAGGCTAATTCAAAGTGCTAATCTTTCATCTAGGAAGCACTTCAGCCGGTCAGGATTGTGTAAGATACATAATACGGTAGAAAAACACAAACAGTTTCCTGGAATGTTGATGAGGTGCCCCGGGGGACTAAGAGCACTGTACAAGCACGCAGAGGTCTGAGGCTAGCTGTCATGTTTCCTAAACAAAGTGGCAACCGTACAAGCAGACAGTGTTGCAGGACTGGAATAATAACTTTCTCAAATTCTCCTATTTCAAGCCCATTGGTCACGGTGGAAATTCAGAGGGATCGTTTCCAGTGTGCGATAGAACACGCACTCCATTGTCGAATATCCTGTTCGCATCATCTCGTCCCTCAAAGGAGCGCGAAGCAGTAAAATCAATCACCGTTTGCCATTTCGGATTCTGTAGGTTTGTGCATTTGTCGTGGCCTAAACATTGACCATTCTGCTTGGCGGCGCTTCAAAGCAAATGAGAAGAAGAATTCCGGCTGTAAACTTCGACTGATTGATCAATGGCTTTGAAATGACGTCGTCCAACCTCCGCCCCCCACAATCAAACACCACAATTCCATCGCCCTCGACTAGTTTATGGCGCCATGAAATGCTAGATTTGAACTTCGTGAAAAGTTGTACAAACACCCAACTGAAATAATCGATACCGTTGACAAGATCATGGAGACGTAAAACTATAGTCACATGTGAGTTTGGACAGGTATCAGCCCACTGCTAGGTAGTTAAGTGGGTGTGGCAGTTTTAAACTAACGTCACAATGGTCTCATGAGACATTCGATTCCTTTTGTTATCACACACACACGTGTTCAACTTTGCACATGAATTGTTTCGCGAACTGATCGATCGTTGTTACAACTTTATCGGCTGGGTACATCAACGGCTGGGAGCGGCAGTGGGTATGTGAAACTGTCGGCAGCGTGTCCAGTCATTCTATCGATTGACACAAGCTAAGGTCGAGACATCACGCTACAATAAAATATGACTGCTAAGCCTTGGGGATCGACATAAAATTCCAGCATTGCGGTCGGTCTGATGGGAGGTGCAACCGAGACTTTCGCTGTGTCTTCGTCTGACTTGTTCAGTTTACGACAAAGCGGGAGAATTAGGTTCTTTGGTTTCATTCCATTCCTCAAACCAGAACTGAGGTTAACAAGCACTTGAGGTTTAGCTTCAAAAACACAGGCATTACTTTGGTGACAATGCCCCGGATTGTTTTTTGATCAAGACGCATATGAAAAACACAAAATTGTACTACACTGTTTTTGTCCTAAGGGAATTACCACCCAAATTCCTAGTGGGATGGCGAGGCACTTGAAAGTCTTCCTCTTGTAGGGAACCAATATTTGAGTTAGGGGTCACCAGCGTTTACAAGTCCTGCAGTTAAGATATACACAGCCTGGAAACGAGCACTTTATGTGGAAAAAATACCGCATTCATGCCGAGGGTGGATGTATATAGAGAAGGAAATGAACCTTTGAAACGTTTTATCTATTCTTGGTCCAATTTTTAGACACATTCTTCATGGCTCAGTTGATCTACACTGAAGAGCAGATTCTAATTACTGCAAATGCTCGTGAAACACCCACTACTTATGATTTCGTAACCGGGATAAAGGAACTGTACGATGGTTCACAATTTTTCAGCATAGGTTGACTCTACTTGCGGAATGAATCCCGTGTTTTATGCTTCCCAGGTTAGCAAACTAAGTAACTGTTGCTTTTGGAATCCGGTGCGTCGACTGCAACTGATCATTTTGTGTGGACTTCACCTGGCCAGTTGTCCACGTTATTATTTCATGCTTTATTGGTCCATTCTACATGAGTTCCAACTCTGTGATTGGCTCCATTATTTTAATCACATGGGTTGGCCAGTCGATCAGATTGACCGGATCGGGCGATTGGTCACAACTGAGCCAGCCTATTGATAGTCATTTAGTTGTGGTTGATTGCCTGATCGCATTTATTGGTCATCTTGATGACGTAATTTGGTGCCAACCATGTGTGCGCTAAAATTTCGGTTTGGTTGTCGGATATTGTTGGATGTTACAACGTACACAAAAGCCACGACCTGCGATACATTGGTAATATCGTAATGACCTGGGTGGCTTTCGGAACAGCGGAATTAATCGATAGATTGGTGGTTTGGCGACCGATTCATCCAAACACGTGAATTGTTTTTCTAGCGGTCTAACATTTCAAATTAAGCAGTCGTTGCTGCCGTGTAACTGTCCAAGATAACTCAACCTGCATTTTGTAGACGCGCAAGGCTGCATGCTATCGAATCTGTGTAGGTGTTTTGGGGACAACGAACCATTTTGTAGCAGATCCATCTCGTGCGTAAGTAGCTGACGGCAAATCTGTCAGTTGCAAACTTTTTTATTGACCTTGATGATCTCACTAATCGGACATAATAAACAGCTGAGTGATTTGCGAATGTACATGGGAAATATTAGTCAACTATTCGAGTCATTCTTCGACGTTCGGGACTATGTAGTTGAGATGAGCACTCTGGTACATTGTGGTAGGCTTTTTCCTAAAATGATTCCATCTGCACACAGTGGTTAACAGATATCCGTTAATCTGGATACGCGTCCTGTAATAACAACAGCTGTGACCTATCATTAACATCTTGTGTGCGGCCGATGACGCTACGCTGAGTCATTTCCTTGCTCAGACAGCCAATGAATCAATAGTCAACTGATGCTTATAACATGCACAGGCTACGCGGGTCAGATGATTACTTAGTCAATCGCTTTATGGTTGATGTCTGACGACGTGAGTTGAAGTGCGGTGCGCCGACTATTTTTTACACCGAATGGAAGGAGCCTCTGTCGTAAATACTAGTTTGACCAATTGGTCATCGACCAAGCTACACCCTTGACTCAAGTGCCACAGTCGTACAAGGTAGTACCACCACATAACCTATAGGAGCCACTCCAAGATCAGGGACTGGGCTACGTGTCCTCACATCAAGCGCGTGGAATTGCGCCACTATATGAGCAGCGGATCTCCGTTATTACATCCTGCAACATGTATCCTGAGGAATTCATTACCGCTTTCCTTCTGATCTTGGCACACAGAAACGATAAGAGCAGGGGGAATCCTAGAAGCATGGAATTTCTGAAAGAACCCAATCAGCTGACGTGTGCAAAGTGACAAACTATGTATCAACAACGTAGTCGAACAACAGAAACGGACTTGGTCATCTGATGGATGCACGAGGAGACAACAATAAAAATCGTGGAGCTGACAGGATATCGGGTGATGAGTCGGAGAGGCAAACACAAGGTTCATTAGACGCCGACCAATCAACCGGTCAAACCGCTGGACATTCAAACCAACAATCATAACCAGAGGATATTTTCTTCTCCCGGGTGTCATGACCACAAACAAAGCACTTCTCGATGTCTGTGCGCCGAGGAAAAACGAGGCACCGCTAATCTGCCACGTACTGATGATGTCAGTTTGGTTGGTGACGAAACGTTTGCAACCAGCTCATCGAACACGGCAACAGCCATCCACATGCCCTGCAACTGTTCTCCTTGGTAGCGAATTAAACCTTGTAAAATGTATCTTAGGCTAACGAATTGGCACAATGATGGTTTTACTCTCAGGTGTTCCACGGATGCTCTACTAGCGTGCGTATCACACAAGCAGTCCCCGCTCTCGGTTCCCTCGTTTCCTGTATTTTTTTTATATCTCGAACTATTTTTCAGGCTTCCGATGGATAGCCAGCAGTGAAATCGAATCGATGGCTGTCTCGAGTGTTTTGTGCGCTACTCGCTTGCGGCTGATCTTCTGTCTAGCGTCCGATTTTCACCGCGATTAGCCTTCAAGGACAATCCCGCTTACGTTGGTTTTACTTTGTGAGAACGATCTTCTTCAGTACTTATAGCATTCCTGTGTTCTACCTTCTAGTCGTTTGAGTGTTACCCATCCTGACGGATTCGTAAAGATTGGGGACACACTCGAAAAGTTCGAAAATCGGTCGTGCAAAGTTGCTGCACTGAAAGTCTTTGAAGCCTCCCATATTTCTCCATATCTCCATTCTGCTTGTTTTGGTCAACAGTTCTCTCTTGATCCCGACCTTGTTACTAATCGTTTGTCTTAGTGCCACTAATGCCGATAAGCTTTATATCCCATCTTCTCATCCAAACCTAATTTACCACAACTGCCGCGACAGATGCCTTTCTTCGCTGGCTCCTGTTGTCCTGCTCCTTTAACGTTCAAGCCACACAACTGATTGCCATCCACAAAATGCTAGTGTTCCTCCTTGCTGCGGTAATGCGAAGCGCATCGTCCTTCAACTCCAAGACTTCAGGCATCAGAAATCTTCGAACCCCCCCGTATTCTCCCGTTTTCATCCCCCAATTTCAAAGGCCCACCGTTCCCACGTGGTCGTTTGACTTTTCGGACGATCGTTTAACACAGCGTTCAAGAAAACCGTGCTACCAGCACTGTAAATTAAGACCCAGGATAAGAATTCATGGTACATCACATAGGGAGTCAACTTGAGTGGAATCGGGTGGGAGGCAACGCTTCGAAGGGAATTTTACATTTGGTTTGCGTTTGGGATAGATAGATGGGCGGCATAAAGCGAACCATTACAAAAGCGTATTTGGTGTGATTGAAAAATAATAACGGTAATAGGAACAATAATAATAATAATCAACCGGTAAAAACACAGCCACCATTGGAATTGAACGTATAAATTGCGTGTCCTCTGGAATGTCTCATAGGTGGGGTCGGATGGGTTGGCAAGATGCTCACTTCACAACCTTGACTTTGCGGAATTCGATGAAGTTTTCTTTGGCTTTTCTTCGTTTGTACGCATTCCGTGCCTCCTCCATGAGCAAACAGTTCTTCATATTCTCACGCTTGATTGTGGCGTCATTCATTTCGTCGCATACGCTAGTTGGGAACCAACCTTTTCGTCCGTCTGGAAGCATGCCTTTGCACCAACCTGATTGGACAGGAAGTTTAAGAATAGATGAGCCATTTGCTCATACTCGACGAACAAGGGCGAACAGTAAGCCATTCATTATATTTGCAGGCACACTTGCCCACAAATATTGTTATTACCACTGTAATCTTAAACACTATCTACTTACCACGATATCAAACATGGCTGTCCTCTCTCACCTTGTTGTCGGTATGTGTCGTTAAAGCAAATTCTGTGGAATTAAAACTTCCCAAAGGCGTCCTGGTGTAGATAGTGAACAGGCTGAACGTATGGCTGTACTTGGATCGAACCTCAAGAAATGCGAACTATACTTGAATAACTCAGCTGTATGAATTATTCTATCGGTCACACCCACAAGGTACGGAAGGGGAACCAGAATCCTAAGCCAACCTACGAATCTGTTTACCTGGGCGGATGAGAAACTTCCGCCATCCCAGTTAGAGACGAGGCAACCCCTCTTAGGGAGAGAGCAGCGGTGGCCTTACTAACCAAAGATACCTATGATGCCCATCCTGGATAGAGTGCACAACACTGCAGTTTTGTTTGTATTAGTCAAAATCCTTCATCGAGTTCAACACAAGACAAAATGCATTCAGTGACAAACCACTGTATCGAGACATTGACAAAAATGGCCCATTTGCGCATCGGACGGAGCTACTGTGTCTGAACAAATTATGTTAATGAAGTGCTACCTTCTCCTCGTTGCTGCATTCATAATTTGCACACCATTCCATTCTGGTTTTAAAGTAGAAAATGAGGTTAGTGTAAATATGGGGACTTCGGTTGTCTGATGGTTCTATAAAAAAGCGTGAGATCGATTGCCAGTTCTCTGAGAGTTTTCATCGGCCTAATGAGTAGTGTCCGCTCAGGACAAGTGCTTCACTATCGTGAGTATCATTCCAAACGAACAGATAAATCCTATTTTCATGGCGTCCAGTTAAAGTTTACCAACAGTGAGGTGTCCAACTGGATAAAAATGCTGAGGTCAACACCACCGTCATGTCAGAAGGTGAACTCACTGAACGTTGCTGGTGGCCGAGGTGCAAAAGCATACAGCTGGTAATGTCTTGGAACCACTGATCAATGCGTCACAAGTAGAAGAGCAGAGTCAAGCATATGACATGGTGACCAAAACATATACAATAAATAACTCATCGTGGGGGTTCTGCAGGAGGTGTATTGTTCAGTTTCACATCACTCTCGTTTTTAACAGTCATCCTCCTGTCCCGGTGCAATTATTCATGTGAATACACACCAAAGGGGGAAGTAGTGGACTCGAGTTTTGCTCCTGTTAAAGCCCATCAGCAGTGGATATCCAATGGCCGTGCCGGGGCTTGAACTCCGGACACCTGACACGTGAGTCGAACGTGTCACCACTATTCTACTAGCGCACGATGGACGTATCTGAATTCTCAAGTCTGAACGGGCGAACGTGTTCACGCTTGAGCGATGTGATTAGTATGATGAGCTCTAACAAGAGCGAAACTCGAGTCCAGTGCTACTCCCCCCTTTGGTGTGGATTCACATGAATAATTGCGCCAGGACAGGAAGACGACTGTTCAAAACGACAGTGATGTGAGACTGAAAAATAACTAATCGTTTAGCTGCAACATCCTTTGGTGACCTAACTGCCATGCGACCTGAAGGAAGCACGAGGGCACTGCCAAACTGCCCAAGCTTAGATAGAAGCAGCAGAGATACCAGGGTTGGGTTTGAACCGCGGACTGTCGGTTCATGACTTAGCCGTTGAACTATCCCGAGTTATCCTACACAGCTCAATAAACGAATATTTATGAATTTGTAAAACAACAACGTGGACGACCACACACAATGAGCGGACTAATCGCATCGATCAAACTAATAGCATTAAAAAGAAAGGTCTGAAATAAACATAGTTATGTCCGGTGTACCATCGGTCCGATAGCGTTAGATTGTTACGTGACAGGGAATTCGGAGTTGTTCACTCCCACAATGTGCGCTGAATCATGACAGCATGGATGTTTTTCTAATTAGAGAAACGACCGATTTCTACAGAGATGACACAATGGTTCAATACAGTGGTTTGGCACGAAAGATCCTGTCGAACACGGCAGTGTCGCACAAGTCCCTGATGGTGGGATTGATGGATTTGATCCGTTTTAAACTGTTCAATGATAGTGTCCAGAGGCCCAAGCTGACGTTGGTTCATGAAATCTAAAGTAACTTAGTAAACTACTTTCACACACTGCTAATCAGATCCCGTTTGTCGTATTCCAACAAGTCAGCATGAATAAGCAAACAAGGCGAATTCACGAAATACACTCAGTTGCAAACTAGTTTGGTTTTACCAAACGAATTAGCCGAATCTAAGTTGAATTTTTCTTTTTTTCACTCTTCAACTGGATACGCTTCAGAAATGCCGCCTCGTGTTTTACTTCGTACGACATTCGGGATATTGCAGTGAATTCTCTTGATGGAACAGTACTCATTAGGCTGGTGAAAACTTCCCGACAGCCCACGACCGCTTTTGCCTTCTTTGAGGCTCATCGGTTAGGTAGAGTTTCAGAGATGAAACCAGCAATGGACTGTCAAAACTCTTTCAACGACCTCATAGGTAGTGATTCGTGAAGAAAAACAAAACAAATTATCAGTAGAATTACCCATATTCGAGGGAAGTTCAACACACCAATCGCGGGTGAGTTGTTCCCAACCTGACTACTGACTGTACTCATTAGGTGAAAACTTCCCGACAGCCCACGACCGCTTTTGCCTTCTTTGAGGCTCATCGGTTAGGTAGAGTTTCAGAGATGAAACCAGCAATGGACTGTCAAAACTCTTTCAACGACCTCATAGGTAGTGATTCGTGAAGAAAAACAAAACAAATTATCAGTAGAATTACCCATATTCGAGGGAAGTTCAACACACCAATCGCGGGTGAGTTGTTCCCAACCTGACTACTGACTGCCGAGCCATCATAATTTCAAATTGAAAAAAAAACTGGCTGTAGCTTTCTCACCAAAAAAGAAGCAGTTTGCCACCACATTGCAGATACCAAGGGACAAGCAGAAAAAGACGCGAATGGGAGGATTGTGGAGTCCTCCACACTTTTGCGATGTCGACTGGTTTCGTATGCAAATTCACCCAACTCATAAAAGGTGACAAATTACGTTCATCTCTCCTCTGAGTTGATGCACATCCGTTGTCCGATGTACAAACTTGTCCCAACAGCGGCTTAGTTGGCTGGTTCAACGTCAGTGCACCAAGACGTCACAATCGTTAATCGATAGCTGAATGACGCCTTCTCCCTTGACACTTCAAAACAACTAGTCTGCCAAAGAGCGCCATCCGGAGATATTTTTTGTACAAAAAGTGAACATGATGACAGGAAGTGTTTATTTGCTTGGCGACGTACCATCACTGAGCCGAACCAGCAGGTATGCTGTATCACCCTCCCTTAATTCCAATTCGTCGCCTGCTGTGGCCGCATATGAACGTTTCGCCAGCAGTTGGGGACAGTCTGAAAATAGAATCAACAGTATTATTTAACAAAGCTGAACGTCCTGACGAACTATGGAGTCAACAGGTAGGTATTTTTGGACTAAACATTGGGCACTTAGTTGAAGTAAACCTGTTTGGTTGGTAAGACATTCTTGCTCCCACACGTATCTGAGTGAATGTCATCGAAAATGTGACAAACAAGTCGCTTCGAAGGTAATCTGCAAAAAATAAGTCGCCCCACTCACTGTTGACCAATCACTTAGATCAGTTAGGTTAGTGCGTGGTACGTTCAGTCGGTTAGGTCATGAATTAAGGGAGTATTATTTAGCGTGAATAGCTCTCACGAGATAAGTTAACGCGGCAGTGAGCAAACTGTTTCCTTCTGGGAAAAGAGAGATCCCATTGCTAACCCTTGTTCTTCAGTATAAACCACTGAATCAAAAACTAAGTGGGTGAGATTCAGACATGCTTTTATGCCTTCCACTATTTCATCTACCGTAAGGTGTGTTAGTTCTGAAAGGTTGGTGTCCGCTAACAGCAGTCGCCTGACTATTTCTAAAGAATCCCCTTTTGGCACATTTGTATATAACGAATTCACATCGAAACTTACGAGGATATCATCTGGTTCAACACTGACACCCAATGCTTTGTTGGCGAAGTCACATGACTTCTTAATGTAAGTACTAGATTTCCCGGAGAGTTGGAGAGCATTGTAGAAAAATAAGCAGGCCGCCGAGAAACACAGGTGAATATCAAGCATTACTGAAAGACTTGGGAATGGCGGAACACGCACTGGACACGGGACACAAAATAGACTTAGAAAATGTTGAGGCGAGAACTACGGTCCATGTCATAAAGACTGATAGCCAAGGCGGTGAAAATCGCCATGCATCCCAGCGTTAGCAGGATTGAGGGCGTGGAACTGGTTAGCGTGTGGAGAACGGTCTTGGGTCACTCAAGCTGACACGTGTTGGTGTGCGGTCATTAGAAGGAAGAGTGGTCATCATCTGAATTCCATTTGACCTCAACATTCCTCAAACTCAATTGTCGGAGCACTCACAATCCCACAAAGACCAGGGAAAATCTACCAGTGGCACCCGAGGTGAATCATCAAGTGAAGCAGCCTGAGGTGGAAGATTAAGGAACGAAAACCGATCGGAACTAATTTGAAACTCCTCCAACCCATCCATTCAAGATTTTGGCACCCAGACTAGCCGACAAGAGCCATTAATTGACACTCAGCACTGATCTAGTGTGAAGAGGACTTACTGATTGATTTCCCGTCTGTCTTATAACCTGGCCAATTTGGTGACCTGTTCAATGGCCTGATGTAGCCTTTGTGTCAAAAGCGAAACGTTGCCGAAATAAAAACTACCGATTGTTTACCAAGCTCTTCTGAAATAATTAAATTAACCTTACGGTTGCACGACCACGAAGCATCAACAATGCTGTTGCAGTCACCTTCATGGATGATGCTGGGCAATCTATGTTTATAACATCTGGTGCGTCCATTCAGCCTGTTCGTTGCTGACAGCTGCAATGTGAACCAGGTTACGTAGTACGGTTTAAACTACTTGAACTTCATCAGTAGCTAGATTTTACCCGCTATCCGTAATCCTATTCCTTCCGCGCATTTTCGGGGGAGTGGAGTTGTGAGGAATGACATCATAAAAATACACCCTTTCCTATGTCAAGGCGTGCTTTATCAGCTTGGTGAAACCAACGTGCTATGTGTCTGATTCCAATGCACAGATTAACGAAGTATGAAGTGATCTTTGACCGAAAATACAAGTTCTCAAGTGCACAGTAATATATTGATGCACATGGGGAATTGACCATCCAAAAATATTCAAAACTCCCAAGCTAATCAAATCTCTGTAGGCGCAAACAACTCATTTCGATAGTAGAAAATGCGTTACACGTGCGTTAAAATAAATCTTGCCTCGAATCAAAGCTTCATCAGAGATAGCAAACTGGGTCGGACATAGCGCATCGAGCCACCGTTCTCGTTCGGATCTGAGAGGTGTGTAAGTGGGATATATACACACATTAGCCTGTTACAACAAGTTGGAAAACGGGAATTTAGTGGTCTACTGATGACATTTCAAAATGATAACAGGAACAAATTAGAGGAGTCAGTCAAATTCTTAGGTTTCCGTAAGAGTAGAAAAATATTTTTCATTGGTAATTAACGAAACTGTTTCTAACAGATTCCTGGTTAGAACGACGTGGGTTGAACTATTCTTACGAAAGCCAACAAGGATCCCCTTCATCCTCCGAAAACCTAGTGATATAAACCTTATCACAAAATAGCAACACGTGTACTTTCTGGACAAAGAGGAATATTTTTGTATGCAGGCTACCGAAATGACTTTGCAGTCACAGAAAAACTGGACTATGGTCCTAAAATTATAGCTGAAAGGTTTCGAGTTTTCTGGCCACTCATGCATGCTTCGGAGCCTCTCGTAAGTGTTCTTCTAATGAAAATTCTACTATACCCAACGGTACTCATGTTATGGTGCCATGGTGTTCTTAGTGATGGGTAAATCCGCTACGGTTAAAGGTCATAGTGCTGTAGAACCATTTCAGTGTATCATTCTAGTAATTTTCGCTGAAATGTGTCTGATGGATATATTGGTGTGTTAGTATGTGGGTAATTCTGCCAATATCCCAAAGTGTAACTAGGGTTCGTGTAATGGTTAACCAACTCTCTTCTGGTGATGGTGATGGTGATTACTAGTGGCTCAGGCTGTTCACGTCCCACGAAAGAATCAGACGGACGATAACGCCAACTTCCAAAGTAGAAATTGTCGGAAGTCTGTGGACAAGCAATTTCACGCAAAATGTGATCCGGTTTGGAATTTTCAACTTCTTGGACCCAACCAAGGATGAGTGATTGCGCGGCCAGTGAAAACGACACCTCAGTGGAACAAGAAATCCGCATACAATCATTCATTAATTTCTACCACTTTATTTCTCCCATTTTAAGCCTTTATTGAAAAAAGTGATATGGATGTGTGGCGGTGAAGCATTGTTGTTACCCGCTGATGCTGCCGTGGATGTTGACGAGAGGCAGGTCTAGGTATAGCCAACTAAAGGCAGCGTTCCTCATTATATTCTTAGACAAAATCCGGCAAAGTCATTTTGCTGCTGCGCGGGAGAAAAATGACCTTTTGTTTGTTCACTATTATAGTGCTGTGAGTTGTTGTGTGTAGTGTGTTGGTTTACAACTGGTATCATTAACTATAAGTGCCCGAGTTTGATGAATCGAAAGTGCTTAGAGAATGGCACTTGAAGGTCGATCAGAAACTCGCATTGAAGGAAGAAGGCCTTCTCTGCGGAGTTATTTGTTCGAAAATGCCAACTGAACAGTTACAGACTATTGGATTGGGAAGCAAAACTATCATATGCATTTTGTTTACAAATACTGAATATCCAGCTTCACTATAAACGCGTCTTCCTGAACTTTGCTGGATATTCATTGACTGTTTCTCAATTCCAAGGAAATGCTGCAAATCGACTCCACAAATTCTGTCATAAATCTCACTTTTCAAGAGACGCTAAGCGGATTTACGAGAAAACATACTACTCGCATGCCTCCCCATCAGTAGTATCACCGTAACACCAGTAGCATGCCCAAACTAATTGTCATTCCAAGGACGTTGAAAAACGACTGGTTTCAGGGCTTCCAGTGTAATGCACCACTAGTGGGCATGTATGCGTTAGAAAACCAAAACCAGGGGTAGATTTGTTTAGCATACTAACCAGACACCAAACTTGAAAAAGCAATGGTTACAAACGTCCGAACAACACATATGACAAGTCTAACTCACAAGCTTTTGGCTTGCAGCTTATATTCGGCTTTTGGATGATCTGGGCTCTCGATAAATAGGCTGAAGGGGTAGACGGCAAAACCCTCCATATCGGAGGAACTTTGATACAGGGAATCTTTTCGGTCAGTCACAGTTGGGAAACTTGAGAACTCTTCGTCTTCTTTTGACTGTTGCGAGTTATAATATCTGGTTATCACAGCTCCTGCGGGGGTACCGTTCGCTTGCGTTGTGATTGCGGTGAGTGGACAACTATCATCAACCATCAGCTTTTTATTGCTGAAAGGGTGAAACGACACGCGATGGTAATCCTTGGCGAAATGAAACACATCACAGTGAATTTCCATCGGTGTAAAAACAATGGGCGTTTGCGTACCAACAGATGAATACCTGACTCTAGTCAGTAGCGAAGTGTGCAACCACAGCAATTGCAAATAGACTGAACCTTGCCGTAGTTTGACGGTCTGTGTGCTTCCGCAACCCAGTGAGTTATACTACCGAGGTTGTCCGTACCAGTTTGGGTAATGGTTAGAGTTCTGACCGACACAGTCTCCTGGCCCTCCAGACTGGGGGTTGCAACATGCGTGGGGACTTGTTTCGTAAAAAGTGTGATGTACCTGCATTTTCCCCCAAACACCGCAGCCTCGGGGTCAGGCTTTTGTCGAGAACCCTAATTGTTCTCCTATCTAAATCTAGGCGCCACGGCAGTATCCCGGCCCACGTGCAACCATGGATCGCACATATACAAATGAATTCATGCCACATCGGTGCGGCAGCGATGCACCAGTTTTAGATAGTGATGTTATGCTGTCGTTGATGATTATTATTATTATTATTACGATGATGATGATGGCGTACAAACAAATAATGGGTTTTTCAATTCTATAATTTGGCTACTGGGTTGAAACTGTGAGAAGTTCTTTGCATCCAAAAATAGGTTTCGCACACAGAAAATTCGACCGCTGAATCCCGACATAAATCAGGCACCTTGGGAGCTACTGAAAGCTTTTCACCATTCCGCTTTCTCTAATCAGTCATACACATCAGACAAGGAGATTGAGCTTATACATCGCTGACTAAATGGAGCTCAGCAACAAACATTAACTTGCACTTTGGCTTGTCTTGGGTGTGAAAACATCGCTCCTGGGTGTATTAAAAATTGTATCATACGATGTAAATCGTGAAAGCATGAGAAATTTAACCAGTAGAAACACAGTGCGCAGAGTATTTTGAAAGAGTAGACGTGTCCTTCTCATCAATTGTTAATCGCAGAACCTTTGAAAAAGAGCCTCAGTTTTATCGGAGAGCCTGTGATCTTCCTTGGCTAGGCAGGAATTAATTGGGAGTCTATTGGTTGTTGATCTATTCGCCGAGCTTGGCAATAGGCTTGCAAACGTTTTGTTACTGTACCAGAAGACATCATCAGCGCGCAGTCGGGTGGGTGCTTCTTACTTGCTTGCGTGCACTTATATAGTATTCAAAGGCTATCTGTTATCTTGTAGCCAAGTAGCCAATCACGTCACAAGATAACAGATAGCCTTTGAATACTATATAAGTGCACGCAAGCAAGTAAGAAGCACCCACCCGACTGCGCGCTGATGATGTCTTCTGGTACAGTAACAAAATGTTTGCAAGCCAACTACCAATTGCAAACAGATCAACAGCCACCTGATCAATAACCAATAAACTCACCCGAGCTACCAATATTTCAACACATTAAGTGGGAGTCTGTGTGTGAAAGAAAGCAAAGTGTGTCACCGCAAACTGTCAGGAAACTCTACTACAAGATCGGTCTACTGGGCAATTCGTTTAGATGTTGGTAACGCAATTTAGTCAACGGGTGGAGCAGAGTGGCATTTTCTTCAGTTATAGATTTAAGTAGGAACTTTATTCTGATGTACTGCTTCGAAAATTGATTCAAAACCGAAAGCGGTTTTCTCACCATCGGAAACCGTTTATTGTAAGACCCCTTGAAGGGTTGATCGGCATCGCAGCATTACGAACGTCATTCAAACGTCTCAGAGTATGTCCTAAGAACTTGCCGAGATACCATCACTAGATTATGGTTGAATATGGGCTGTCTGATCTGGACTAGCCATCAGCAGAACAGGCAGCTCGATGAATATGATAGAAGACTACCTATTGGATGCTTTAAAGTGGCTGCCATTGTGTAGGTTGTACTGGTTTCCGGGAAGAGTACAGAAACAGAAACCAGGTTTCTGGTTCGCACGAATAATTGGTCATTCATCCGGTTGACAACTTTGTTAAGCTTATGGACGTCGAGACGAAAACAGGAAAGGTAGTCAAAAAGGTAGTCCAAGTGACTCAGCGAAGGTGTATGTATGTTCAAGTAATTCCTGTTAACCGGTTACCAGCATTTCGTATGTTATTCGGGCACAGCGGGGTTTCATTTTGCATGGGACTTTACTTTGCGTTTGGAGGGCTCGAGCGTAGACAGCCAGTCGTGTCCGCCAAAAACGATTAAGAAAATACACTACTTGCAACGTTGGCAATAGTATACTAATCGAGATAATGGTTATCCAGGTGAACAAAGATCAGTCGATTGACCAGTTGCACTAAAGCTATTCCGCTGCCGAATTTTATGCGTTATCATGAAACTAGATGTCAAAAAATACTTTATTTACAAAGAAGCCGACGTAGGTAATTAGATACCTATATCTGTGGCGCCTGTCTTTTTTAGCTCAGGTTCGTGACGGGAAACATTTTTCGCACATCTCACGCCAATGTAACACGCACCTAGCGTTGCATAGATCGGTGGTAAAACCTAATACACAAGCTTCAGGCTATCAAAATGAACGAACCTGCGTTGTTTTGCTATGATGAGCAGATCGTTGAAGAGAAACAGACTAGCGCTTACAACCTTCTGTCTTCGAATTCCAGAAAGCCTTCGTTGAAATGCACTACTAGTCTGCTTGGTGACCGTGACCAGTCGCAACTCCCCTTCTTTGATCAGCCGACGACTTTCAGTTGCCACTGACTGGAAGGAAAAACCGTAAATATAGATTAAAATGTAGTTAACACAATACGATACAGCGAATACTATGGCGGGTACCTTTTGCTCTCAAAGAGCAGACGGTTTCAACCAGGTGTAGGTAAAATACAGAAGAAAAGCAATACGGTTAGAAATGCGTGGTACTGATCAAAACAAACATTTTTTTACTCAAAAGCGTGCTAAACCAGTTGATTTAATTACCTTAGCATCCAGCTTGTATTCGAAGCGAATGGTAAGCTCCATCAGTCGTTCCTTTTGTTCCATGTACAACTTCTTGCTGTCACATTCTGCTAGGAGCTGTAAATCACGATAGAATAGTTTAGATAGCTGTGCTATTTAAAAGGATACAGTGATGCATGAATATTTGTCCTCGAATCATCCAATCTCCAGTGCGAAGAATATAACTGAGACCATTCTGACTTGGTGCTATGTGACGAGGTTATGTAGCGGAATAACTGGTCATCAGAGTTACTATTAACCATTGACCTGCCGAGCAGCTCAGTAAATAGACTGGTTCATTCCTGTATGCTCAATGAGTTCTGGTTGGCACTTATTTATCGATACTTATTGCCTTATGCATATAGGCTGGCTGCGCCATTCGTGCAGCGGCTTGAAGAGATGTCTGGTCAGGCCAGTTTTCGTAAGTATTGTAGATCCTCAGACCAAGCCTAGAGGTCATTCATAGGCTTCAGTCTGTTGTCTTTCCAATTATGCCCTGTCTTGTGACATAAATTCATTTCCCAGAACTGTGTCTGCGTAACCTGGTTGCACAATACAAGTGAGTAGGATGATTCGGCCTGTCGAACAAGTACCAAATACACGTTCACGGTTATCGGATAGAAAGGTTCACACTGTCTACTGTTTGTAACGTGCGCATACGTTTAAACCTTAGGTCTTGACCGATAATCAATCAAATTTATTGTTATTGTGCAAATATCTAGGCCATATTTTTGGAGGTACAGCACCCACGCATTTTAAACACACCTCTTGGTGAACTCACTACTATGAGGAAACTTGAAGTGAGATGCATGGTGTATCACGGGACCGTAAAAGTTTAAACGAGATCGCAAGGTCGAATAAGGCGAAGCGGTCAAGCTAGAGAAAAGAACAAAAACGTTTCAGATTTCTTTCGAACATGCGGCCCACCATGAAGCGCCTACCTGTGTGTGAGTGGCCCACATGCACTTTCTTGGCGCAACACATACTACTTACAAGGTTGTCCATGATATACACGAGAAATTCAAATGAGATTCACTTGAGCCTCCAGTAAACATCAGCTTGATTTGCAAATGACTGTATTTCGCAGCGATATTCAGTATGCTCCTTTTATGCGACGGATCCCCCACCTCCCGACACGGTAAAGCAATTTCTTGTTGCGATATGCGACGTGCTGTCCTTCACTAATAACCCGGCACCCAGGCCAGTGATCACTACTTGTCAACTCAACAGTATTATGTTGATCACGGAGCCAAATCGCTGCAATATAGAAGTTGATGCATCCTAGCTAACTCCAAAATCGACTGGTGGATTGGTGCTCAACGAGTACCATTCACGCGGAAAAGACACCCAACCACAGCAATGAATTGGGTCATTCGCAAGCCTTAATGTATCCACTCTGGTGTCCAGCCCTGTTAACAGGTAGATTTCGCTGAATATGGTCGTCCTATTTCAACTGCCTGACTGTTATGTAATCAGGCCTTCCAAAAATCTCCGCAAAAGACTGAATTCCCTGAGGTAACTTTTAGTTTTTCTTGGTTGATGAGTATGCGAACATCTTTACTGTCTACGAGTAACGACTAATCACAGTAACACAAGGCTACTGGTAACTCGAGGGCCTCTAAATGGAGCAGACCTGTTCATGGGCTGTCGAAGACTCTTTGGCAACCTGATGAGTAGTGTATTCCGTCAAAAAAATAATCATAGCGCTTTGATCAGTCAGTAATGAAGCTCGACAACAGGGTTGATCGTCAAGCATGTGTATGCTTGTTTGTCTGAATGAAAACAAAGCTAAATTATCTGGTGATGATCACTTTCGCCAGACTGCATTCACCTATGGAAATCGAACTTCCGATTGTCTCTGTTGTTGTGAAAGCACTAGAATGTGTCCTGGAGGTGGGCTTTTTAAAAAAAACTGGAGCGGCCCCCCCAAGCTTGTGACAATCACAACTACTTCAACTCACCAGTTCGAGCGAAGCCAAGGCAACCAAACCGCTTCGGTAGACAGCAGAGTTCATAGGAGCGTAATGCAGTACAGTTGATGTTAGGAGACGCAATCGCATCACTCGTTGCATTGGAAGAAGTAGGAATGAGTTCAAATCAAGGAAGGCGCACTCTGGATGTGTTTGCAGTTGTTTTGTTGCTTCTAGAAATGCGGGGTGTTGCCTGTAAATGAAGCAGAAATTGTACAATTGGTCGGTATCCGGAGAAAAGACGCCAAACCCAAAATTTCACTAGACTGAGCCGATAAAGCAGAAGAAAATTAAAAACGTACAGCGGAAAATATCACAAAAGTCGTATTGATTTGCGGACTTTCAGCGTGGTAACGTCGTGTCGGATGAAGGACATGCCGATTTGAGATTGGAAGACATGGAGATGCAAGCATCCCTTGGTACTCATCCAGTTGCGCGCATTCGAGGATTGCGCATTAAAACACAGGCTCCTCGTCAGGAAGGTGGATGTACGGGATGGTGGGATAGACTTTAAATGTCGAATTCATGCACCCGTTCTACCATTTCTGTCTTCACATGCTCGCTAGGACAACCTCACCTCCTCATCTATAGGATGGGTTCACTTTTACGAGTCCAGGGCTATCAGACATTCATTGCCTAGTCTGAGATGAAGTGGCCGCAGAGGTGAACTGAGTTCACTCCCTCTGATGTGACCAGACTTTGTGTGTGTACGTGTTTATTTCTTGTGACATTTGTCGATTGGTTCACAGCGTACGCCAGCAACTGAACTTGTCCAGTATGATTGTCGTCTTCAGCTTGTTCAGTGAGGTTGGGTACTGATTTGTACCGTCTCGTCGCCATGCGGGGAGACGTCTTTAGTTAGCTTTTAAGCGGTATGTCACCCTTTCATGTGTGGGTCTTTGACAGTGATGATGAAGTAGGCTTGATACCTATAATGTGACTGGATAAGAGTGATTCCGGTCTAGATCACTGCGACAGTGTGGTCTGAGTTCGCCTGACTCTGTTGATTTGCCGAAAGCTGACTTTTTCTGCAGTTTCCACAATTTGCTCTGGTTGATCATCCTAGTACTTGCGGTACGTGTTGGTTTTGTAGATACTTTGATTTGATGGGTTGTTATTGTCGGTATTTTGCGCACTTCCATTGAACTATTTGATGTATTGCAACATGAAGACCATTCGTCCCGATCGATTGTTCCTCACTAACTATTGCATTATGCGTTGCATTATTGCATTATTTAGTGGCTTGTGATGATATATGGAGGGTCTTGACTGGTTGCTCAGGCCTGCTGATGAAAATAATGTTGCTTCGTCCACAAATTTCGGCCTCTTTCGGTCGCCTACTATTTCTTTGTTCTACGGTCTCATACGTAGAGCCCGTGCAACCCTTTTGACGATATTTTTTGATAAACTGGGCCAGTACTCTACTCGATTTTGGGTAGAGTACCGAACCTCCATTAGTTCATCCCCTACTTGCTTCTGTGAAGGTTTAACGAACAAGCCAACGACTAATGAGTCCATTAGAGCTACCAATAATCCGCAACGGCGCCAAAGAACTGCTGGTCACCAAGCTGCTTTGTTTACATGGTCCATACTGAGTCTGTGGCTTATTCAGACGCGCATCACATGTCCAGTTTAGTCCGGGTTTCCCCCTACTGGTAACTAGCAGGATGGGCATTCCTCATTGCAGCAACATTTATGATGGAAGCGACAGTGTTTGTATGACATCAACCAAGTCGACCAAGAATGAACAATCCAGAGTGATTAAACTATTTAAGAAATGAAATGATGGTGAATACTCTGTGAGCATTTTGATAAGTATTTTAAACCTAAGACGATCAAAATAGTCCGAGATAGAATTCTTCGCAAGTGCGGACGATTCGGATTGACTTCGTAGATTTTTCTGGGAAATAACTGTAAATGAACTGAACATCGTATCTCACGGAACTGTCGATACGATGTAACGAAAGTTTTTACGATCCATATAATACGCTTATTGACAGTTGATCCACATTGCAAAATATCGTCGCAGCACACATACAACCCACAGCTATGCATCTATTTTATTCCTTGTCAAGCGACCTACTGAATCAGTTATCACATGACTCCACTTAAGGATCAATCATTTATCGGTGGCACGTGAGTTAGTTGATTTTGCAATAACTGCCTTCATCAACTCTTGTTGTACGACAGAGTCATCCGAACGATTGTCATTCCGCCTAAGCCTACTTGGATGGTTTGTAGGCGTGAGTCCTGAGTTGTGATCGAATTATCGCCACACAAAACGTCGCTAAATTTTAGGTCACCTCACTAACGCTTCATCAATTAAAGTTCTCAGTCATTACTGATCAATATTGGCCTCATCTAATAGTAAATGGTAGTTGAGTATAAGCAAGAAGAGACCAAGCAAGAAGACCAAATCTACTAGATAAAAATAAGTGTTCACTGGTGCTGCATATTGTGTCGTTGGTTCATGCAGAATCCTTCGGAACAATTCGTGATTGGGCGGCAATTGAACACGATAGCTGCTTGTGGTCTTCTTATATCGCTTCCGAGGAATTACTTAGCTTGCACGTGAAACAAAATACTTAACAATAGTTTTCCACTGAAACCAATCACATACGAACGCTGGTCTTAACCATCTCACTTCTGTCTTTCTCGATTACCTGATATCTAGGGGGTTGGAGCAAACTTACGCCCTCCGTTCACTGGAGTATTTGAAATATTTTGAGTTCGGTAGGCAATAGGATTTAAGAGAATGTTTCAACGTATAAATAAAGCTGTTATGACCCATACAAACGAGACTGATTGGCCTCGTGCTTCAAACAGTTGCATCATAATTATGGTGGCACTCCAGACACGTGTGCCTACGAATATTCGTAAAACGTAAACGAAAAACGGCCGAAGCACTTTGTGCAGCTAGCACGAATTACAACTGGATTAGCTAGCTAGCTAGCTAGCTAGCACGTCTGGTGCATTTAGCAGACCGAATTTCTCAAATCTATTAAGAATTTCTGCAAACAGGGAGTACGTCTTCGGTTTTACGCAAAAATATCCTTCACACTGATCCCCACATAGTTCGCAACAAATTACGTTCTCCTATCATTCCAAATCCGAGCAATATAATGGAAGAGGTCAAACGACTTTTCCTCATGTAACAATCTCATTTGTGGCAATATGCAATGGGGAAAAGGCATAGAACATTTAGGAAAAAGGTCCTACCTTAGTTTACACAATGTGCGATTCTGGTAGGTCTGATTCTGCACGTATGTTACATAAGCCTGAAAGTCTGCCTCAGAGTATTTGTAGACGATTTCGAGGAGGTTGGTGAGCCACGGGTCTTTACGGAAACAGCCCTCCATGGCACGTAGAAAACTGGAAAGTTACAACGGTAAAAGAGCAGCCTGGTTGACTTATGAATAGGATTACATTTGAGATAAAGTGAAAAGAAAGAACAGTCCGAAATACATGGACAGCAATAATTTAACTGGTTATAATGACAAACGTTCTCTTATTGCAGCGAATTAACGGTTGCGCCTTTTTACCCATAGAGGAAACATCATAATCTTTACCCTTTAAGGATACTCGCTTGTCTTTGGCACACTGATGCCAACTGGAACCCGCATGACAGTCCCAGCAGATTCTGTAATATTGTTCCTCTAAGAGCACGCGCGTGTTGTGGGCTCGTAAAGAAATTGTTTACTTTTGCATTTAATGTAACAGTGTCCGGTAAGCCAGAAGGACTGATGACGTAGCCTATTCAATAGCTGTACCCGGGGGATGTGGGCATCGAGCTCAAATGACCAGCTGACCAAGGACACCTGACTTCTGTATAGTGTATCGAATTTGGCGGAATAACGGATCATACTTGTCAGCGATTTTGCAGTCACTAAGACCAGTCAGGATGCCAGACAGAGGAAAAGTTCTCATAACTTTGGTTAGTTGTGGAAAAATTGGAACCGACTCTGAAACCACTGTTTGAAGAAGGCTTGGCAGATAACCAGTGGATTCATAGCTGAAAACCTTTCATTTCTTGACACAAAAGCTATGTCAGACAAAGTGAGTAGGTTACTACTTTGGTCAGGTTTTGAGGCAGACGCAGAACCGTTCAGCAGTACTTCACATGATTAGCATACTAGATTTTCGGCTAGTTCGTGCATCTAAACCTCACAGTCGACGGGTTGAGAGGAGTTTAAAGTGATTTTGACTGGGTTTGGATCCCTGTTCTCCCGGTTCAGGGGACTTCAACTGATGATTCTTCTTGGGTATCATTTGTGAATTTTATTCGTCTTCGGGGTTCGAAATTTTTACAAGAATTTGGTTAGGTGGTGAGAATACGTGGACGTTTTTTCCGATTTAACCTTCCTACATCAGATCCAAGCAATATCTATGGATAATTCCGCTTCACTGATAACTTCACACTTCCAGGTGAGAGCTTGGGTAATCCATAACCGTTTGCCATGCGCTTTCCTAATCTACACATTTTTATTTCAATCACACTGGAATGTTTGGCAATGTCTGGACTCTCAGTCACACTTGTGTGAAGCAGGGTCAGCACCACAAAAGATCAGCATTCTCTAAATCTCGCGAAACTTATTTGCATACCACTTTGGTTCTAAGGGGAGCTACAGCTGAATTCCAGATGAATCTCCAGACAATGATATTCTACAGCTGAACGTAGTGCACTGAGTTTGTTTAATGTTTCAGCTGGTAAGATACCAGAAATGTTGCATCCTATTTTCTGGACAGAACACCGCTGAAGACTCAAATGGTGTGCAAGGGTGTACTTCGCAAATTTCGTACAATTCGGGTTCAAGTTGAGCACAAGGTTGACGGAGACCCGGTGGCCGATCCCAAGAAGGGCGAAGTCGTTCTTTGGTTGCGAAGAGCTTTCAGAACCATAACGAGTATTGCTCCCTCAAGTGAATTTCCTGGATCCCGTGTTCAGCGCAAGTCCCGCTTTTGCTGAGTCTTCTGTTAGCACTCAACATTTATTTGCATTTCTTAGCAGTCTCTTTATTCTCCTATCTGCTCCTTGATTCTGGTATGGGATTCTCTAACCGTCTGTCTCACGCAGATCTTGCTGCACTCGTTATGTTTGGTTTTGTAAACACGATCACTGGTTTCATCTATAGGGAGGCGATCGTCTGGGTGCGCCAGTACAAGGTACAGAATCTTCTTCTTAAAAGTTACTCTCATGTCAACCGTGTTTGGGAACCTGAGATTAATTTCGGAAGTCCCTGGTTTAAGCGGAATAAGGGAAGTCCATTCCTTTTTCAGACTCCTCACAGGTACCACTCCTCCTCCTAATTGATACTTGATCAAACTGGTTATAAACTCACTGGTTGTCTATCGAACCTTTCTAGGACTAAAAACATCACTTGGTCATTTAAGACACGAGGCTTGCAAGTTCCAGACACACATGGTCCACACACCAGCGAAAAAAGCAGTTACTCAGGTAAACACATCGATGGATCAATTTATCGCATTGAATTTTCGCCACTTGCTAGAAATTGATACATTAAGGAATTTCGCCCGCCTCAGTCATTCACGCTACGCAGTTTGGCTCTAGGGTTTTGTTTCTCCGTTGTTTAACGGCTAAGCAAACACAGTCAACTACCGACGGTCAGTTCATACAGAAATTGCGGAGATTACTAACGAAAGTTGAAACTTAATTTCGTAAATGCTACCCACGGAAATCCAGCTGATTTTAGTCTTTCTTTCCCGAAGTCTGGCTACCTTTGACGGTGCAGTGAACAACAACGCCTCTCGGGTAGGTGAGTATCCTGTCTAATTTAGTCAGGAAGCTTTCCAGAAGCGATAACACTTTACAAAAGCACCTCATCATCATCATCATCATCATCATCATCATCATCGTCATCAAAGACAGCAACATCAGTGCTGGCATTGATGCTTCACAGCCGTACAACCATAAGGTTCGTCTATATACATATATATATATAATTATATTAAAAGCCCCAGTGTGAAAAGAAGAGAAACAGAGTGGGTGAGGGAGGGGACCTGGTGCTGGCCTATGTCAAGCCTACACCTCCATTCGCCCAATCAGACAATCTGGAAAGAAACTGACATTACGAACGCCAATGACATTGCTTAGCCACCCCTTCCTGCAACCTCTCCAACCAAGCACAGACGGGGTCACGGGGACCCCATCCTGGGAGGCGTGCAACACCAACAACACCCAAACCCTTCGTGATCTCTTTCAGGCCGTTCTGCCAAGTCATGTGCCATCCACCTCGCGGTCTTCGCCATCATGAAGGAGGCACGGAGAACAACACTCGTCTCGTAGACGGTGTTTCGGCATGGTAGCACATGACCGAGCCATCGTAGTCAATGATTCTGGATGATTTCTCGGATTAAGGTGCCTGCAGCACAACCAAATGCCCGTCACGAAGAGACTGGACCTTATCGTGGTGTGGCGGTTTGTGTACCTCGGAGACCCATTGAGCTATACTGGGGACTGTCCGCGCGACACTCACAGAGTCTCTCAAACCAGGTTGGTCAATGGTTAGAGGTCTGACAAACACAATCTCCTGGCCCTCCAGGTTGGGGGTTGGAACATGTGGCGGCTTGTCCCGCCAAACACCGCTGCCTTGCGGTTAGGCTTTTGAGTCAAAGGCCTTGGTTGAGGACCCCAATCGTCCTCCTGTCTAGGTGTGGGCGCCCTGGCATTATCTCAGCCCTCGTACAACCATGACATACACAACTTACAAAAGCACCTACCATTACGACCATTAAAAAGCCAGTCTACAAAGCCCAAAATCATTAGTGCGGTTGACGAAGACCTGAACAGTAATATGCGTTCCATTTCGATGAGAAAAATGGCTTCACAGGTGCCGACCAGTGAAATTTAAACGCTGGGGAGATTCTTGTGAGTCTGGGATAACAGACCTTTATCCCATGCCTAAACATCGCCCTACCGAGAAGAACGTGATTCTTCGTACTTCCCTCAGAATGCCGCACACTGCGAGGTGGGCATCGAGTAACCTGGGAGAACGCTGTGAAAGAAAGTGTGAAGAGTGTGGATGCTGTTGGTGTGGTACGTCTTCTAGCATGGGGTCCCTGTGGCCCTCTGAGGAGACACTGCAGGAAATCGTGGCTAATCGGTATCAGCAGCATTTGTACAGTTAGTTCGTTTCCGGATTGTTCGATTGAGCGCTTGGTGGTGTATACACATCAAAATGTTTGTGACAGGTGAGCAACAGGTCCACTTTCTCACCTACTCTGCTCTTCATTCTAATCAGATAAACTTTGTGATTGTACGGAAGAATCAGTGTGCACGCTGGTATCATTGTCTCTGATGATGACGATGGTGCAGATTACCGGAACATATGGCACTTTTCACTTTATAATGTGACTGACGAATAAACTTTCAGAAATCTACCTGATTATATCGGTACATGCAAAATCTGGTGTACCTGAAGGACTGGTTCACTCAAGGGAAAGTAACGTTCACAGGCCTGAGTTCGTTGGATCTGACAAGCTCCTTGTGATAAACCGAGGTCTCAATCAATGTCGCGTCACATATCGATACTGTAAAATATTTCAGAATTAAGATAAGGCAGCCTTACTGCGAAAAACATTGCTTCGTTATCTCAGTTCCAAATTTTCCAGACTACTTTTCTTGGTTAAATTTCCATCTGAAATATTTGTTCCAAATCAACCGATCACAGGCTTCTTTATGTCCGAACTAGCTTTTCACACCACCGTGATCCCCACCGGTTTACAGTACTTGCCGAAAAGAATTCTACAAACGAAACTAAGCTTCCGGTTAGTTGAGCGAAAGTGCATCTATGTGTCACTTGAGTGAGCAAGCGTAGCGCACGCATTTGAATGTCAATCAGAAATTTTCATCTATATTCTCGTTTGTAGGACAGCTAATAGCCGTTGCGCATCGTTTGGAACCAAGGACTACAAATATGATTTTTCATGATTCCACTATCTTTACTTAGTCATCATCGTATGAAATAATTTTGTCTCAATCCATGGGAATCCCATATCATCGATTCGCATTCCAGACGCACACAAATACTCGATGATGACAAACGCGTTCTGCTCCGGTGCAGTACTTCTACCAAACACAGTGGGGTTTAACTATGTTGCTTCTCGGCTCACACATCACTGATGTATCAGGCACACAGCCACGCTTGCTGGTTGACTACTAACATCAAAAAGGCAAACTTCATGTCTTGCGCCGGTTCATCTACCTAGATGATAAATAGTGGAACAACTACAGATAACCCCAGTAGTATCGGACCACGAAGTAAACCTGATAAGCGGAAGACAACCGAGCTAGATAGAATTCGATACCGCACACTATGGAATGCGGGTCTTATAGTCACTAAGGATGAGTGATTCGACGGACTATAGAGTGTGCTGTGGTCGGAAATAACTATCAGAGAAGGTAGAAGTCACAACAGACCACATCTATCTGATGAGACCTAAAAAGGACGAAACCGGTGGTGGACTATCAAAGAATTTTCAGGCAGCTTATGAGTGGTGATCCGCCAAGAAAATATACTCCAGGTAGCCTGTCAGTCGGAACATGAGGCAGCCTGTATGGATCACATTCAGTTGAAGAATGTCCTAAACAGAAATATCAATGGAGTCTTTCGTTACGAGCAAAACAATTTGCAAGTGCGTGTACGTCGTGAACTTTTGGTGTTTCAATAGAACAGTGGGTTGATCAGATCTCGGGATCTATGAGCTTCAATAAATACGGAACAGCCAAACGTTCTCAGCAACCTTACTAGCAGTGTGTTACAGCAAACCAGCATTCATGTTGGCTTAGCGATAATACGGGCCACATATCTAAAAGAGCGGGCACCACTAAGTTGTTGTCATTTGGACATGTGAAAGACGCATTTGAGCGCACCGAGTTTCTGATGGCTCTCGGATGACTTTCCTTGGGTTCCCCATCATAGATGCGATCAAATTTTCCAATGGGTGAGCACAGTAGGCCAGCCTTGGACTGTTAATCTTAAAGGTTACCTCAGTTCTTGAAAGACCCTAAAATGTTCAAGAACTACGCGGCCGGATATGTCTTCTTACTTCGCTTGGTTTGCAGTTGGAGACAGTATCAGAAGTGAAATTCTGTGACCACCATCACACAACTCGAGCTTCGCAGCGGCTATTCCCCGTTATCCATATGGGTGCTTTCTCTGTGCAAATAACGAGTGGTGCAAATTTCTCATAAATATTAGAATCTAACTGTGCTGTTGCTGTTACAGGATAAGTAATCATTTGGTTTCCCTGGTGTCTATTCGATCTTTGATCTTATCCCCTCGCATCGATCGAAGAGCGAACATATGATCGCAAACGGGACTTTTCGATAACCACCTGTGCATTGTCCGACTGAAAAATAGATCTAGTACATTAGTAAGGTGAAACAGGCTAATCTAGAAGCCATCAGACTTCAGCGTGAAAGTGTAGAACTGAGCAAAGGTGGAAAACATCGTCTAGGACATCGGAAACACATATCTTTATTCCGAAAACTGCAGATAGGAGGCCTATCTAGACTTCATGCATAGTTGAAAGCGTCAAAATACCCTCCATTCAGAAGAATGGCTTTTTGAAAACCTGTATACAATAACTGCCCCAAGTGCGATGCCCTGGACCACTGACTAAAAGTAAACTTTGTCCCATTGATTTGATGTAACTCATCCTTGGGGTGTTCACACATCTTTGAAAACAGCTGGTATGAACTTAGTTCAAGGAACAGGTAGGAAGCTAAGATCTGATTAGAGAGCAAGCAACTGTCACTTAAAACTCGAGACTCCGAAATGAATAGCGTCCGGAAAATATGTACGATTTAAAAGCAGGTTATTGTACAAAATCAATTCATCGTTGGAGAAGTTGGGCTATCAGGCGAAGAGTGCCGTATTATTCAGGACATGTCCAGACGAATTTCGTCTTTGGCAGTATGGAGTTTGGGCAGCATACCTGACAACTTGTGTGTAAACGTAACTACTTAGACCTGGAGATGGTTCTCTGACTCGTCTTAGGGAAAGGACTCTTTCTATCCACACTGTTGGACCGGGAATGACGAAACAACTCATCTACCAAACAGTATCAACATTCGAGTTCCATAATAAAATCTACACTGAACTGCTGTGCGGTGGAGTGGCTGTGAAATCTGCTGGAAACGTAATTCGTTGGAATGATTGCGTTCAATATAATTCTCAGGGATTTTCCAACTGGTGTCTGCCATATGTACCAACAGAAATTATGAAGACTTGACTCGGATATTACTAGGAAAATTCAGCACTTTCGATTAAGCAAACTGAGTATTCTCACACTGCTCGATGTATTTCCACAACCGGCTACGGAAGGGACACTCCTTACTCCGAGGCTCCTTTGCCCCAACTTGTGATTGATCCCCACTTCGAAATACTCTGACAGTGACGGATCTATATAAGCTGCTAGGTTGGTCTGTTCTACCATGGGTTCATTACACCTCCGTGCTTGGTTCGTTCGTCAAATCAACTGATACCCGTATCACAAGGATCCGCTCGTAGGATGCTCTCTGGGTATTCCAAGAAAGACTTGCTAGGTTACGGCTTTATAATAAGTGTACCAGTCACTGTGTATCACTTCATGTCTTTACAGAAATTCGATCTGGAACAACAAGGTTACAAATGGTTCCAAACAGCCTGCATGAAGACAACCACCACTTACCTCTCACTTGTCATGATTATTTCCAAAATATTCGAGAACAAGTGATGTTTTTCGGTGTGGGTGACTAAAGCTCCCTCTGTCCCAGCTTGCATGCAAGGGGCGCGGTAGAATACCTCAATGAGGACGTTGAGGCTCCGGAAGTAGGAGGCCTCCGAAGTCATTATTTCGAAAAGGGACTGTAAAAAGAAGTGAAAGAGAGCGCTTGATGCAACAGAACGGATAGTACACGATTTTTATTTCTGTCTAACTGATTGTGAGAGGTTTTATCCCAGTCTACTTATTAAGCACGTACTCTGATGTATTTGTGATTGACCTTTCAAAGGATCAATATTGTTCCATCCTTGTGAAGAGTTATTTGGAAGGCAAGTTGGCTTCCTACTTGTCCCACATTATCCCAAAACACTACCTGTGTTCAGACTGATACACCTCCCGAGCTCTGAGGGTTCGAGTTTTACTGAAAGTAAGAGGTCTGACAAAGGGAATCACCCACAAAACAGTCCAGGTGACAGATTTGTGAACTTTCCTTGAGTTCAGTATCATTTAACTTGGTCATTGAAAGAGAGCTGTCAGCTGGTCGGCGTAAAGCAAACAGCTGGGTGTCGTATTAAAGTTTCTCAGCTAGATATTACCTCAGTTTTGTAATACGGTCGTCTGCACCAGCCTCAAACGATAAAGCGGACTCCTCTTAACCGACTTGGAAACACTTTTTGGGCTTGGCTGTGTGAGTATACACATTCCCAGGACAGCAAGAGGCGAAGATAATGAAGGTATTAAATAAGACCTGACTCAAACTATGGCGCTATATCGAATACACAGAGTACTGTCGACTATCAGACCAAACAAATGTTGTGAACATATGGTACAAATGTAGAACAAAGCAGACAAACCTCTTGAAGCTTTTTTTGCACTGGAGTGAGATTTTCCGCTAAACGTTTTTCGACTACTTGAGGCATATTAGACCAAGACACACGCTTTGGCCCTGTACCGGCGATTTGTGCAGCGAAACGCTGCATTTCAACCGGCTCACTCGGTGTTCGTTTGACCACTGAATTTAGGGTAGGAGATCGAGCTTCGGGTGATCTGGAACGCGCGCGATTGTCCGCAATCTTGAGTTCCGGGCTTTTGGATCTTTCACGTTTTGGCGAAGATAAGGGTGGTTTGAATGCTGTCGAAGCCGCTGCCGCTGCCGACGCCCGTTGTCTCCATAAGTCGAAAGCAACACTAGCCAGCAAATTAATGTCAGGTTTACCTCCGGGATGCACAGTAGGGTCCTCATCGTCAATAAGAGTGAAGTTGGTGTCCTGAAATTCGAGACTATTGGTTTGACTGATGTCATCAGAACTAACCCTGACACTTGTTTTCGCTCCTAAACGGGAAGAGATGAGGAAAACGCAATTCGGTACGTTATTTTTGCCATTGGAAACATTCACCACGTTTTTTCATGGAATTCACTTGGTGCAGCTAGCCAACTGGGACGCTGGATAGCCCCAAACTACCCGGGGTAGAAAGGATTTAGAAAACTAGCAACAGTCAACACTACCCCCACATAAGTATCAGCGAGTAGATTATGCTTCAGGCATGAGTAAACACCGTTGCTACTGGGATGCTTTTGCTGTCAAAAACTGCCAGACACACTGATATGAACAGCTCATCGATCGCATTTACCCTGTAGGACTTATCGGGAGTGTACGATGTTCAGGGACTCATCATAAGAAACCAACCGCGGGACATGACCAGAAAGGTCTCTTCTAGGAGACCCCTATTCCAAAGGATCAATCATTCGATGGCCGAACAAGTCCTCAACAATGAATACTTTACACCATTCTTTCCAGCTGATTCCATTTGCAATGTAATTTTCATAAATGAAGTAGTGCTACGAAGGCGCTAAATGCAAAATTTGTTTTCAGAATATCGTTACATGAACCGGTACTTCGTGAAGTGTTGAGTAGTCGTAAAATCATTCTGCCTGCCTTACGTGTCCTTTCCTGTGTCACTCTCATCTAAGCAGCTTGGTTGGTTATCCTCGGATCATTCATTACGTCAAAGTAGTAATGCTAAACCAGTGATCACTTGTCCCATCCCCGAGGCTGAATGAATGGAATTAACTCCGTTTCCCGTTCGAAGAATGGCGGTATCTTTTTTACGCGTGACATACCAATCCAAGGATCTGAGCCACTGGGCTGGTTATCTAGCCAAGAAGCTGTGATCCTAACAAGTGATTGAGCTCAAACTTCCTCATCATTATTTACAGCTTGACATACGTGATTAACAATGATGCTTCGCTGCCGTACAACCATGAGTTATTTGAAAGCCTTATTGTGAAGAAAAGAATGGGAATGGACTTTGAGCTACAGTCATTCCGCGGTGCCCGTACCTCCGAACATTCATTCAGGCAATCTGGGTAGAACCCTACAAAAAGAACGCCACTGACATCGATTAGTAGCCATAACTTGCAGCGTCTTCAACCAGCCGCATTGATGAATGTGTCAACCCCAGCCTGGAGGGTAGCTAGCACCAACCTAGCTGAAACATCCTCAATTCTCTTCTGTCATGTCATATCCCGACCTAAAGCTTGACGTGGTGGTCGGGCTTCAGTGCTGCAACGATCCCGTGGGCTACACTGGCTGGAACTTCGTTCCACAAGGTGCAACCATTCCAGGAAGGCCAAAGGGGAGCAGCCAGACCAAGAGCAGCGAGACCCCGTACTACGAGTAATCGTGCTACGAGGTGGTCTGGGGGTATAGTCGTACTGTCCTCTGCAACAGGAGTGTGAAGGCAGTAAGGTGTTTCCCCCAGTTATGTCATTTCCAACTGGGCACGGAAAACACCTTTCTCGGTTAACTGTAACTGTTTTTCTATAGAGGAAAACGCAAAAATGACTAGCCGTCACGAAGAGACTGGACCTTACCGTGGGGTGGCGGTTTGTGTATCTCTGCGACCCATTGAGCTATACTGGGGAATGTCCGCACGATGCTCACAGAGCCTGCAAAAGACCAATATCTCAACCGGAACACTCAAGGAGGACAGAATATTGGATTCACGAACAAAGAAACAAGGAACTCCTTGGAGTCACATCAATAAAGCTCACAAGCCGGGACTCGGAAGGACAAAGGTCACTCCGGAATCGACCAGATTACGGCGACAGGGGATGCAAAGCTCAAAGGTCACGTGGGCATCGGCAAATGAAGACACAGAATAACGGAGCAACCAATGAAACCGCCCGACCGAACAACTAATCGCTGTCAAAGGTCATCTTCGGCTAGCAGAACGTACATTAGCACACATGTAGCACTACTCAACACAACCACCAACCCACCGCTACACACAACTACGCTCCCCAATAACGCACTGATGATGTAAATATGTATCCGCGATAAGCTGCCAGTTTGCCTTAGCCGGTAGTACTGGCCATACACAGTAAACTAACTTGGAAGCATGTGAGCGTTAAAAAAATAACTGGTGATATGCCGATCGTCAAATACTTCTTAGAGATCTGGGACGGTCTGTACCGGCATCCTACTAATGTTCACTGGATTTTGATCACTTGGGGCACCAGTGAAGAGAAGCGGATGGATGGGGTAGTACCATGAATTTTTGTCATTTGATGCCGCCTGCATTATAGTCATTCGAGTAAACTACAAGCGGACCACTATAGGCAGTTGTGTTCTCCGGGTGATCGCAGTTGGTCAGTATGGACATGACATATATGGACCAGAGTACAATGGTTGCAAGCAATGCTTTCTACGAGAAAACATTCCGTAGAACACGGTGGACAATTAGAACACACCGAAGTGGTAATTCATGCACATCAGACGCCATGAAACTGCACTGACCACGTGCCTAGCTCCTTCATTTCAAAGGCAGAACGACACATGCTCAGCTATTCTCTAGAAAAGACGTCAAGTCAATCCACCCATATAGCCTATGGAACTTTCGCAAACCAGGGGGTAGGACGACAGCAAGTAACTGCAGACTGTTAGTCCTTCCTTCAAATATGTATTGAGCAGACGGGTTCTGGTAGAGTGGGCCCTTAGATAAGCTATACAAAATGCTCTCAGGAATGAAACTCCTAGGTGACTGTTGGCAATTTTCGAAGCTGGGTCGTTTACCTGCGGCAGGTTGTTGCAGATGGATTCCTGGAGTCTAAAATACTATTTTAAAGTTCTAGTCATGTACATATGTAATTTTTCAGGCAATAAATCTAGAGGAGAATTCTTGTCACGAGTGTTTTAAACCCTGCTTGACAGAGACTTAAATAGACTGTTTATCGGCGAGGGTGTATGATAACCTGATCACCTTCCCCCCTCCCCGCAGAGCTTTACATGTTTTCATAGGTTAGCCGACGCCCAGAAAATAGAACCTATCAGTACGCTCAACCTTGGTACTGCAAGTGGGTGCAGAATGTCGGAGCCATTAAAGCGGTCATCGTTTGAGCCAAAAGATTCATGGACGACAAAAAGTCCATCCGCAAACTGAGGATAGCACGGTAACCCTTTAGTTGCTTGGCCCAAGAAAGACTGCTTTTTGTGTAATTATATGATCCAGTGAGCCATCATCATCATCATCAAAAAGAGAAACATCACTGTTGGGACTGATGCTTCACTGCCGTACAAGTGAGTCATACTACAGGTTGTTTGTGTGACGTTCGTACAGTCTCTCATTTCAGGTTGCTTAGTGGATAAAGGTTCGACTATGGCGGTCTACTGGCCTTCCAGGATGGGCTTGGGGGAAAATAGTCAGCAACATGTTCCAAAAAGGTTACATTACTTTGATAGTCCCACGTCAGCAACCACTGGCTTGCGCTTAAGCTTTGAATGAGGACCCTAATCGTTCTTATGTAAAAGTTCGGGGGCTCTCATAGTATATGAGCCCATACGATGGAGGAATTCCATCAACTTCTTTCTCGGCCGCTCTAAATCTCGGACGATCTGTTACTCACCTGGCCTGATTAAAATATCATGCCAATAGCGAGGCGTTGGCCAGCAATAAATCCGCTTTCATGAAACACTATTTTTTGTTTTTGGTTCAGTCTGCTTTCCACCAGAGTAGTATGTGGCTGGCAGTCGTTGCCCAGGCGGATGAAAGCAGAGACGTCTTAGTTGTCTCATTCTGATCCGGTGTCTAGGAGCAGATGGTTTCCATTTTGTGGTAAACTACTCAAAGCGTTTTGCTCGTCGAACCACGATTAACGGATGCGCCGGCTTCATGAAAAACCGGGACGGATGGTGGCTACTCGTGACTGACGACAACCGCCCTTGTATGATGGGACTTCACAGTTAGCAAGTAATTCTGGTCAAATTTTTAGACCGCTGTTAATTTCACGGAAGCAATTCTCAGAGGCAAGACCGTAGATTTGTGCCTCGCGTCAATGTCATTCACAGCCATATGATCATGATAGATGAAAAAATTCGTTCCTTACATATAGCCTTCGTCCTAATTATGTTCCCCCCTAATCGGTCGCAGGTGCTATGCCTACCTTAGTCCCGTGAGTGCACCTGATTCAGCTGTGCGCAAGATAAGTGGAAGCGGGACTGAAGTTAGTCAATTCCTAAACAGTGGAGTTGTTGAAAGGATCCACCTGACGACAAAACAACTTGTGCAGTTCATTAATCTCCCATCGCCAAATAACTTCAGGCACTCTGGAATGATGAAATAAAACCAACTCTATGGCCCGGAAAATTATGTGAAATTATTCCAAACCTGCATCTGGTGACCAAAGATTGACTCGTTGCTCATTCACTCCTATAGATGCACCAGATAATGACTATGACTGATGGTCTTTGAACGTGAAGAAATCCAACTGTTTACCAAAAGATATCTGCGTAAGACTTCCAGAGGGTCGGACGCGCAGTTCACTGTCCTGCTAGAAACCTTATAGATCGATTTGAAGCAAACATATTCTGGTGGGTGTGATCAGTGCATTGGATTTCGCGTTTCAGAGTTGACTTCTGGCTGGACCATCTTAAGCCTACCGTGTAGAATTTCAGTTCGGCTTTTTGAAAAGGTTTTAACGTGAAAAAGCATAGATGGTAATGTTCTAGCAGTACTTTATGTTTGACGTCAACATCTGCAAATTAGTTACCAAGCCTAGCGGACAGATTAACAGTCACCTGATCGACTACCAATTAGAGCACTCGTTTTCATTTACTCTCTGGATAACTTTCTATACATAATCTTTTCTCAACCTAATCGTCCACTAACTATCAACCCAAAGTAACTCACACTTGTTACTCACCATGTTCCCTTCGAGCAACACGTTCATTGTACATCTGGTAGAGAGGAGCATCTTGGAACATGGACTGGTACTTCTGACGACGTTCAAACAAGGTTTCGTCATTCTGCGAAAGATTATGTACAGCAAGACAAGATATGTTCAGAGAACGCATAGATTCCATATATCGGCCTCAACCATAGGGTTAGTTTCAAAACGTGCGAAAAATCGATAAAAAATCAAGCCTGGCTGGCAAGGGCCAAAAAACTCCTATAAAAGGAACAATGCGGGTTCGTGTGGTGCTCAAGTGAATTCCAAAATGCCATCTTGTAACCCAAGAGGTGACTGTGTTCAAAGTGTCATGTAGTTAAAACATTGTCGTGCTTCTGAAAAAACGAAACGGAACCTTGAACTGCATCGTGGTTTTATTCGTATGTAAAGGTTTGTGCAAGGCCATAAAAGTGCTCTCGCAAAAACAAAATATCATTTCGAACTGTTGTGATCCATTCGCTATGTTTCAGATTTCGAGAAAAAAGGGTTGCAGCAAGGTCGTACAGTGACCCCTCGTTTTGTAAGCATAAAAATATGTCAGAAGTGGCAACCAGGTATTAGGTTTACAAAGCAGAGTTCTTTGTTGTTGACCGGTGCCCCCAAAGTCTGATGAAACCATTACACACACGTGATGAACTTGACATTAGGAGCAAGTCTGCGCTAAGCATGATATCCGTCGCCAGTGTAGGCTAGTGGTGTTTGATCGGTGAGGCTGAGCCGAGTAAAAACCAATGGACGTCCGGGCGATCACGGTAGCATACTGGTATGGTATGTGGTTGATCGTCCGGCAGCCATGGTTAGGGCATTTCTCTGTGTAAGTCTGTCTGTCAACCAAGCTGTTCGTCTCATTCTCAGCTGGAAATGCTGTGATTAGACACAGCTGCTGCAGGGACATAGTGACGACAATGAATTCAAGAGACATCAAAGTAAGGGATGGTTCTGACCATTCTGGACTTTTGCTTTCATTTTGAAAAGCATGCTTTCGCCCAAGAAGAAAGGTCTCCGGCTTCCAGTAACCGGGCAGGAAACATGTTTTCTCATTCAGCTTAGATTTTGGAAGAAACACAATAACAAATTTACGGGTAAATGAAACCTCACGCCAATCTCCAAATAAAACGAAATAAGCAGGGTAATTTCCACACAAAACAGACAAGGACACGATGAGTGGCCGTCACTTTGTGCTAGAAAACAGCTCATATTATTTTTTAAAATGTGCTTTCACAGTCGGGTGACTCTGATGTCAGACCCATTTGGTGCATCTAAGCAGCGCAGTAATCTCAAGGCGGACTTGGCGTTCAATGTATACCATCTATGGGTACAGTGTGTGGTTCAAAATTAAGACGTATGAAACCAATGGATGAAATACTTAATGACCAGGGTGTAGTCCATGCAACCGTATGCCTCCGCGAATGTTTGGGGGCCCAGCATAGCGGTTTGTCCTACCTGGAGAAAAGCTTTGAAAACTCAGTATTTTAAGCAAAACTTCTTTTTAGTTATCGGGGCTGATTTTAACCCCGTTGCGTTGGTAAAGTGCAATTTTCATGGTGTAAAGTTGCGTTGGTAAAGTGCAATTTTCATGGTCTTGTTCCATACCACGTTTGCTTGTACATTAAATCGTATCTGTGAAATTTCCCGAGAACATAGGACGAGCACTCTCGAGTTGTGTGTATAAAGCGAAAGCGATGTGCTGGCAATCCTAGTGTAAGACTACGTCGGTCGTCCTCAACCTCTTTCCCACGACGAATTTAATACCTTCGTAATCCATAATCGTCGTTTGACTTATCTTTTAATGTGGATGCGAGACATCACCGCTGCGGTGCGCAAGGGTGTCTAAAACTCAAAGCTTCCTGATGATTTATATCTGAAGTTCATGTTGAAGAAAAAGTGGAGTGGTAGTTTTTTAAACATGGTACTTTACATCGTTGTGATATTTTACAACTAGCCACCATCATATAGCAACATCGTATGCAATATTTTTGATGAGTCCTGCAGAAACCGAATGGTGAGTTCAGGAAGGTGCTCCACGTAGATCCCTAGACCGAATAGCATCACTATTTGAAGTTCAATTAAAAATAAACTTTAGGGTTGACATACTGCTACCTTATCTGTCTTTAGTGACGAAGGTCAGAAACAAGGCTGATCAGCAATCCGTACGGAGCTTGCCGGTCATCAAGAGCAGGCAGCTAGGATCCGGAACATTCGTGGAACCGGTTCATTCCCCCAAGAGAACCAGGCGTATTAAGCCAAGTTTGTAATGCATTTCTTGTGAACAGAGCTTAGCTATCCGTTTCACTTTTTTATCCAATGTTTTCATTTTCATGTGCAGTTCATGCACTTACGACTTGATAAAAACTAATATGGTTCCGCAGAAGGCGTGTGAAATGCCATTCTGAGGAACTTTTTGTTGCTTAGATACCACTAAGCTTTGAAGTTACCATATTGTTTAGAAACTTAAAAAATCTGGTGAAGTGACAAATGACAGTAGATGTAGGAGATGGCCTTGTACTATCATAAAAACGACTATTTCTGGCAATGTGAACCCGTTTATTTGTATCATAGTTTTGTGGGTTCTTAACAAATGCGATGGGAATACTGGTGATCCAGTAGCTTTGGCTTATGATTGTTGGTAAACGTGAGCACCGTACACCCAACAGAGTCGCAAGCGAAAGAAACTCATTAAGTAGTTTCATATCCAAGGTCAGTATTATGCTATCATATAAACAACTTATCACTCTCTTGAGTTGTAATTTTGTGTAGCACACCGACCAGCACCCTCATGGAGTTGCTTCAATCACGCCAAATCAGCTAGATAAACCTGAAACAGTGTAACCGGCACCTTGTGACGGGATCCCACTAGTAATGTCCGTCGCCAGTGTAGGTTAGTTGTGGTTAGTTGGTTAGGCCAAGGTAGTCAGAATTAAATGGTTTTACGAGATGGGATCTTACAGAGGTCTGTGAACTCGCTACTGAACACCAACCCGTCTGTTCTACCTGAAACTAGATCGTACGTGTGTGTGTGTGTGGGAGAGCGTAGGTGCGGGTGCATGCTGGCTAGTATGCGGATGTGCACTAACGGTTATGTTTGAAATTTAATTTCATGTATAAAACCATTTAACCTGCAAACATGTTCCTTACCTCAAAGCGGAAAAATTAGTAAAAAATGTTAGTGGTCTTTTGCCGATTTGTTACTGACGGTGAACTAGTATCACGACACCACTCGCAACTTGGCAAACATCTGTGCCTTGTTTTTCACATCATAATTTATTTCCAGAAACCCGGGAAAATCCAGTCTTCCACGAGGGAAGAAAAGAAAGGTGATCTAAATGGGGCCTTTTGACAATCTCGAAGACGAAATCGATTATTTGTTCTTTGGTTTCTACATTGGGTCATGTTGGATAATTATATTCATTGAAAAGTTCAAGAGACAAAGAAGTTTGGTTTTCTTGGTAGGAGAAATTTTTCCAGAGCAGTTCACACAGTCCAATCACAGTGAATCAGCGTTATTTTGGCCCGCACGGTCTTTAAAGTAAGTCGACCCTGTCACCGCAACGTTTCATTCTTCCGTTATTCCAACGAGAAGGGGAAAGCGACAAGTCAGGTCGTCAGTGAAGACTGCATAATGTGTTGTTCGGATGAGGAGAGACTTGAGTGCATGGTCGGTCAAGGGTAATTCCACAAGGAATGCTATTAAATCGAACGTCAACTGATACTTGCTTCGTAGTAATCAGGCAACCTAGGCACAGATTTTCTACCCTTGTGATACTACCAGAGAGTACATAAACATATGGGTAGTGTCTAAAACACACAGGTTTCCAAACAACCGTACTGAGATGCCATTGCTGGCATACTGAGGCGTACGAACCGAAATTGTTTGCGCTCCCATTGATCACGAAGAGAACGGAAACTTGTCTGTTTTAATTCGGATTTATGAATAAGAGCACAACTTTTACACTGTTTTAGGAGCGATCGTATGCGATCTTCCATCAGGACAAACCACAAATGCGCCAGTTGCTGTATTCGAAAGGGCAAGGAAACATACGTCCCCGTTGAATACAAAGGAAACAATGGATTCAACAGGGTCATTTCAGAAAACAGGTACTAGTTCTTTGGGCGACAGTTCCGTTCTATATTATAGTTGAGGTCTCAGCATACAAAGGGCCTCATGCTTTGATTCAGCCCGCTTGGAGTATTCGAAAACAGATGGTTTCTTGAAGGACTGACGTGTGCTTTGGGTAAATCTCGTTTTGCTCTTTGTGGCGTTACTCCTTTAGACAATTGTGATAGCTCTAGAAAGATGACCAAATTGGTCGCAATTTCCTTGTGTAGAATACGCATGACACTCCGTTTGTTCCTGATTTGTTTTTTAAAACTTCTCTCGGTGTAGTCAGAACTCTGTGTTTACGAGTTCTAAGAAATGGTTGATTGTGAAATGAGGAGCCCCAGAATAAAGATGACCGTACCCGTTTGTAATTGTAAGACGGCTTTCATTTCATAGTTTGAGAAAATGATGACTACCCAGTTACTTCCTGTTCACCCTCTTATACTCAGCTTGAGGTTGATCTGAAATATCTACCAAGTTGGCCTGGAAACAACTTGCCATGTGTCTGGCTATAGAAATCGTCGACTTTGGTTCTGTTTATTGCATGCATTGCTTTCTTCACTGGAATAATAACTTAGGAAGGTGACAGGATCGGATTTTTATGGACCTTGGCAAGGCAAATATATCATTTCACGAGCATCAGAAAAGATCCTGGTGTCATGCCGGCAAAGATTCACAGGGACATCGATTTGTTTTGATCAGAGGCAAGCAAGACGGCTCAAATTGGTTCACGAAAACAACGATTGTATGTTTAATTCCTATGGTACTGAGCTTCTTTCGACCCAAGATCAGCGGAATAAGGGAATAAGCCAAGGCTTGGATGTGGTGACCCAATAAGTTCATTTATGTTAAATGGTTCGGCTTGTCCGGTATGGCAGGGCATGAGAAAGCTACTTAGTGAAGGCAATAGCTCTGATTCAAGGTCGTCATTGGTTGTGTGACTTAGCCATATTTGTCAGTATGATTAAATCCTGGGC